TGGAGTTCCTGAGGCGCTGCCGCCTCCAGGTGGGGATGAAGAACAACGTGAGCTGGGAGCTCAACCCCGACATTGTGGCCCGGCACTTCCTCAAAAACGTGAGGGAATTTGTGGGGTTTTTGGGATTTGGGGCATTTTTGGGATTCTCAGGGTCAAATCCCAGAGTTTGGGGTCATTCCTGAAAGATTTAGGGGGTTCAGGCCAGCTCTGCTCCTGGATTTGGGGCCATTCCTGGGATTTGTGGGGTTTTTGGGATTTGTGGGGTTTTGGGATTTGTGGGGTTTTGGGATTTGAGGGGTTTTGGGATTTGTGGGGTTTTGGGGTTTGTGGGGTTTTGGGATTTGAGAGATTTTGGGATTTGAGGGGTTTTTGGGATTTGTGGGGTTTTTGGGATTTGTGAGGTTTTTGGGATTTGAGGGGTTTTGGGATTTGTGGGGATTTTGGGATTTGTGGAGATTTTGGGATTTGTGGGGTTTTTGGGATTTGTGGGGTTTTGGGATTTGTGGGGTTTTTGGGATTTCCAGGGCCAAATCCCAGAGTTTGGGGTCATTCCTGAAAGATTTGGGGGGTTCAGGCCAGCTCTGCTCCTGCATTTGGGGCCATTCCTGGGATTTGTGGCGTTTTGGGATTTGAGGATTTTTTGGGATTTGTGGGGTTTTGGGATTTGAGGGGTTTTGGGATTTGTGGGGTTTTTGGGATTTGAGGGGGTTTTGGGATTTGTGGGGTTTTTGGGATTTGTGGGGTTTTGGGATTTGTGGGGTTTTTGGGATTTGAGGGGTTTTTGGGATTCTCAGGGTCAAATCCCAGAGTTTGGGGTAATTCCTGAAGGATTTGGGGGGTTCAAACCAGCTCTGCTCCTGCATTTGGGGCCATTCCTGGGATTTGTGGGGTTTTTGGGATTTGAGGGGTTTTGGGATTTGTGGGGTTTTTGGGATTTGTGGGGTTTTGGAATTTGTGGGGGTTTGGGATTTGTGGGGTTTTGGAATTTGTGGGATTTTGGGATTTGGGGGGTTTTGGGATTTGAGAGGTTTTGGGATTTGTGGGGTTTTGGGATTTGTGGGGTTTTGGGGATTTGTGGGGTTTTGGGATTTGTGGGGTTTTTGGGATTTGAGGGGTTTTGGGATTTGAGGGTTTTTTGGGATTTGTGGGGTTTTGGGATTTGTGGGGTTTTTGGGATTTCCAGGGCCAAATCCCAGGGTTTGGGGTCATTCCTGAAAGATTTGGGGGGTTCAGGCCAGCTCTGCTCCTGCATTTGGGGCCATTCCTGGGATTTGTGGGGTTTTTGGGATTTGGGGGGTTTTGGGATTTGTGGGGTTTTGGGATTTGTGGGGGTTTGAGATTTGTGGGGTTTTTGGGATTTGAGAGGTTTTTGGGATTTGTGGGGTTTTTGGGATTTGAGAGGTTTTGGGATTTGTGGGGTTTTTGGGATTTGAGGGGTTTTGGGATTTCCAGGGTCAAATCCCAGGGTTTGGGGTCATTCCTGAAGGATTTGGGGGGTTCAGGCCAGCTCTGCTCCTGCATTTGGGGTGGCTCCCTGGTTTTGGGGTCATTTCTGGGTTTTGGGGTCAGTCTCATTCAATTGATTTTTGGGATCATTCCCATGTTTTGGGATTTGGGACCATTCCTGGGTTTTGGGGCCATTCCTGGGATTTGGGGCCATTCCTGGGATTTGGGGTCATTTCTGGGTTTTGGGGTCATTTCTGGGTTTTGGGGGTCACTCTCATTCCATTGAATTTTGGGATCATTCCCATGTTTTGGGATTTGGGGTAATTTCTGGGGTTTGGGGCCAGTTCTTGGTTTTGGGGCCATTTCTGGGTTTTGGGGCTCCTCCTCACTCTTATTCCATTGAGTTTTGGGATTATTCCTATGTTTTTTAGGGCTGTTTCTGGGTTTTGGGATCATTCCCATGTTTTGGGATTTGGGGCCATTCCTGGGATTTGGGGCCATTCCTGGGTTTTGGGGTCATTTCTGGGTTTTGGGGGTCACTCTCATTCCATTGAATTTTGGGATCATTCCCGTGTTTTGGGATTTGGGACCATTCCTGGGTTTTGGGATCATTCCCACATTTTGGGGCTGTTTCTTGGATTCGGGGCCATTGCTGGGATTTGGGGCCATTCTTGGGGTTTTGGGGTTATTCCCATGTTTTGGGGCCATTCCTGGGTTTTGGGATCATTCCCATGTTTGGGGCAGTTTCTTGGTTTTGGGGCCATTTCTGGGTTTTTGGGCCATTCCTGGGTTTTGGGGTCACTCTCATTCCATTGAATTTTGGGATCATTCCCATGTTTTGGGGATTTGGGGTTACACCCCAGGGTTTGGGTGGCACCCCTGGATTTGGGTGGCACCCCAGGGTTTGGGTTACACCCCAGGATTTTGGGTGGCACCCCTGGATTTGGGGTGGAATCTCAGGGTTTGGGTGGCACCCCAGGATTTGGGTGGCACCCCAGGATTTGGGGTGGCACCCCAAGGTTTGGGTGGCAC